ATTTTGTTATGTGACTGATGTTGGATTGAACTTGTAACTGTTGTATATTGTAATAAAAGTGGCTTGAAATCTCAATCTCCTGTGCTCTTCTCTCCTCTGTCTCTCTCTCCTGTGCTCTTCTCTCCTCTGTCTCTCTCTCGTGTGCTCTTCTCTCCTCTGTCTCTCTCTCGTTTGCTGTGCGCATGTGCGGGCGTCTGAGTGTGTGAGCGAGTGAGTTGTTACTTTTTTCCTTTTCCTTTGGTTTGTATAGATATTTTGGTTTAGTGTAGATTTAATTGTCGCCGATTTTATCACCCAAGGGTGGTGAAAAATGGGGACAGATTCAGATGGTTGTGCTCCTTTAACCGCTAAGCATGGGTGCAAATGTTTACCTGATGAGTCCATAACAGTCGAGGACTGTCTAATTGCGATTAGTAGTGAAGTTGGTGCTCGTAATATTGTGTCCGCATCAAGGATGAATAAAGCGGTTGTTGTCTTTTTGAGAGAAGTTGGTTTGGTTCAGCGTTTGGTTGAATTTGGTTTATCCGTTAGAGATACTTTTCTACCAGTTTTGCCGTTGTCGAGTCCATCTAAGAAGGTTATTCTTTCGAATGTACCTCCATTCATCACCAATGACTCAATCGAGCGTTTGTTAGGACGCTATGGTAAAATAGTGGGGTCAATTAAAATTAGGATTAAAAAATCCAGAACTTAAACATGTGATGTCGTTTAGATGTCAGACCTTTTATGATCCTGAACGCTGAATTTCAAACTTTGAATACTTCAGCGAAAACCACTTTGCTGGGTAAAGAATATACCATTTATATCAGTATTGAATCAATGAGGTGTTTTTCTTGTGGGAAGTATGGTCATACAAAATTGGTATGTTCAATGACCGATGAGGCTAGTACTAATGTGACTGAACTTAATCATTCTACAGAACAATTGCCTTTAAATAATGAAGGTGAAAAAAATCACAGTGACGTGACTGATCAGAAAATTGAAGCGCCTTCTATCTTTAAAGATGGTGAGAGTGCCAATGATCCTGTAACGAACAAACACTTTGACGATGTAGTACAAACTTCCGTGGATACCGTTGTAAGTGTAAATACAGCGCGTGATGAAGTAGAGAGCGCTGACGCAGGTCCCGGTGAAATCAGTGAATTGGAAAGATCTGTAGAGAGTGCCGAGATTTTGAGGGTTGGTGATGAGTCCATAGATTCTCAGGCATCAGAGCTCAGCCTGGCACAGGGGGATACTGGTGTGCTGATAGAAGGAAGTGAAGTTCAGTCTGTGGATTCTGACAGTGACACTTCTGATATAGCAGAGTCTCAGGGTGGTTCTGCAGGGATTTGTCACAATTTTAAATTAAAGCATCCTTATTATACAGTTCGCCAAATAAATGACTTTCTTGATGAAACATTCAATCATCGAAGACCAAAACTTGAAAAATACTTCCCAGATTTACAACTTTTCATTGATTCATGTACATTGGCTATGAAAAAAGCAACATTGGAGGAGCTTGATCAACCTAAACGTTACAGGCTCAAAAAACACATGAGCACTGTTAAAAAAAAGATTAAAAGCTTGTTTTAGGGAATATCTATGGGATCATGATTGTCAGTCTATTTTTCTGGGTTTTTGGATACCCTAGCATTTTTTTCCCCATGGCATTCATAAATATTGGATCTTTTAACATTAATGGATGTCGGGACACAACAAAGAGACTTGCTCTGTTTAATTATTTACAATTAAAAAAAGCAGACATTATTTTGCTTCAGGAGACTTTACAGAACCTACAGAACCAGACACAGTGGAATTGTGATTGGAAGGGAAATATTTTAATGAGTCACGGGAGTGCTGGTGTTGCTGGTGTTGCTATACTTTTTTCTCCATGTGTCTGTAATCAACCAGTTATGTTTGAGATAATTCCTGGTCGACTTTTAAGAGCAGATGTTATGGTTGGACAAATAGGGTTTTCTTTTTTTAATGTATATGCTCCAAATGTTGGACAAGAGCGTAAGATTTTTTTTTTTTAAATGTCTGATGCTTTGTCACAGTGCCCACAGGATAATATTGTGGTAGTAGGAGGTGATTTTAATTGTACTATAAACCCTGATTTAGATAGAAATCATGATGAACCTCACCCAAGTTCTGCAGAAACTTTAAAAAATGTTATTGATTACCATGATTTTGTTGATTTATGGAGAGACAATTTTCCTGGAGTTAAACAGTATACCTGGTTAAAAACTAACTCCAATTCTTTGTCTGGAGCGAGACTTGACCGATTTTATGTTGCTAAGAGTAATAGTGGTAGGTTTTATAACAGCTTAATAGTACCATCTTTTTTATCTGACCACCACTATATTTCTGTAGCTGTTTCTGTTTTGTCTTCTAAAATCCATAAATCACACTGGCACTTTAACAACAGATTATTACAGGATCACTCTTTTATTCACTCTTTTAACCTTTTCTGGCAATCTTGGAGAGAGGAGAGCAGTAGTTTTCCGTTATTAAGTCAGTGGTGGGATATGGGCAAACTGCATATTAAGTTGTTTTGTCAACAATATACTGCCCATAATACCAGAATGCAGGATGGTGTGTGTGCCATCTGTATTTCTTGCCCTCTCTCACACAAAAACACACTCTCTCTCTCTCTCTCTCTCTCTCTCTCTCTCTCTCTCTTTCCATTCTTCGTCTAAAGGGTGAAAATGGTGACCCTGGCCCTATTGGACCTATATAGGACCGAGGGGTGTACCTGGGTCACCTGGCCCTCCTGGCCCACCAGGACCTTTAAGTAATAACTTCATGATGGACACTTTGAAGGTCTGAAAGTCATCAATTTTACAATAGATATAATCAAAGTCCTTTTCTGTTTTTAGAGCCTCATTGGTGGTTAAACACCTTTTTGGGATTTCACATTAAATGCAGGACATTATGGTCAACAACAGACTACTGCTAAAGGTTCATCTGAAACAGTTATAATCATGGATAATCAGATCTCAAATGTTTCTTGAAAAACTATACATACTTTAAATACAAGTCAGGTTTGCCTGCTTAGCCTTTGTAGGTCATGTACTTAGTGCATGATTTTGTGGAAAATGTGCTCCATATCAAAGGCCAAAGCAAAACAGGCTAAATTCACATGACAATAACAGGACAATTCAAGGGTCACATCTGTTCCAATTTTTTCTTAGTTATGAAAATATGTTCTAATTGTTTTAGTGAAGCATTTTAGTTTAAAAAGTAAATCAAACCTTTAAACGAGAGCTGTATTGGTTTTGAGATAATACCAGTTCTTTGGGGTAGAAACTCTTCAGACATTACTTTTCAAGGTCAGCACACCATTTAATCCATTCAGAACCTTAATTATTATTTCTGCAGCTTTTGAATTGGTCTTGCTTCTGTACTCATTAGTCTAAGGACAGGAGGTGTTTTATTCCGACAGGATTTGGAGGGTTCTGGTGAAAGCGGATTGTTTCTTGGAGACGGAATTTCAAAAGGTTATCAAGTGAGTGTACAAAACCATCACAACTATTGTGTCATTATCTATTCACATATCAAGGTCCTTCATTAACCTTGGGTGTATCATTGCAAGCTACATTGGTCAAAGATCATTTTCCTTGTGCACAAAAAAGTTTTGTTTTTTAAGGGGCCTCCTGGTCTGCCTGGCCCACCAGGACCTCAGGTCTTTTTATCCTCTGAAATATTAAGTATGAATTTTATTGTATTTATTCTTTTGATTATCAAAAAAGCAGTATTAAAATAAATGTATAGCTAAACGAAATATATTTCTATTGATTGATTGATTGATTGATTCATTCATTGATTCATTCATTCATTCATTCATTCATTCATTCATTCATTCATTCATTCATTCTAATGTATTATTTATTTAAATATGCTATTTAATAATAGGACAATGGACACACTATTAGTGTACTGTAAATGGTTTTCTGTGTTGCATTTTAATCTCAAAATGATGGATGACATATTAAAAATGTAGAAATTAGCAGAAATAAGTTAATGCATACTCTTATTTACATAAGGTAAATATTTGACCCGGCTACTTGGTTTATATTTTTAATGTATATAATTTTATACAGTACATATTAGAAAATTGTATTGCATGCCTGTTGCTGCCATAATAACAGCCCATTTCAAACGTGGTTTTCTTCTCTTTCTTCTACTTGTTCTTAACAGTTCCCACTCGCTGTAGTAGAGCGGTGATGAAATATTGCTCTTGTAAATACTTTTCAGCATTGCAATAATGAAGACATCCATTTTTAAAAATTTATGCAAATTATCACATTTAACCATATGGTTCTTGGCAGTGGTCAAAAAGGATTTAAAAAATACAAAATGAGGATTAAATTACAACGCAACCTTTGTGTTTGTCAAAAAACAGCAGGTAATTATAATTTTTTTGTGGGTGGTGGGAGAAAATTTGGAAGGCAGGAAAATGAGAGAAAGGCCCCTGCAGTTGTTGAAAATAACTTAAAAACAATAACAATTACCATCCGAATAGGGCTAATGTCATGAATACATTTCCTGATCCCTGTCTCTTCTCTATCCAGGGTGAACCAGGATCCCCAGGAAAGGATGGAATACTAGGCTCAGCTGGTTTACCTGGTGCCAGGGTCAGTCTTCTATTTCTTGCATTCTTGGAGTACTTTGAAAAGAGATTATATAATAATGTTTCAAATGAGACAATTACTGAAATACTGAATATTAAATAAGTGTTCTAGCAGTAATAAGTTATGGGTCGATTTTTATGTTGCGTGCAAATGATAAAAATGACTTTAGTAGCTGTGGCACAATAAATGTGTAATGTTTTTGCTGTTTTTTGTTACCTTGCTGTAAACAGGGGCCAAAGGGGGACAAGGGCAGTCCAGGAGATAAGGTATTTTATTGTTTTACACCAAATGATGAATAATGCATGATCATATTCATCTCAAACGAATAAAACACTGTATAATTTTTGCAGTCTGAGACAAATTTCACTTTGTGTGTAGAACATGTTGTAAATTGCTCTATTAATTGTGACTTAGGGTGAGCAAGGTCGTGATGGTCTGAGCATCATAGGGCTTCCCGGTCCCCCTGGCCCTCCTGGACCGATCATTAACTTCCAGGATGTAAGTATAAAGTCTGGTAACCTGCTTTGCTGCAAAATTTTGCTTGAGATCCTAAAAGAATGATTTTTAAAAGATAATGATTTATTTTTTCCTCCAGCTCCTTCTTAATGATACTGCTGCCAAATTGAACCTCTCTAAGATCAGAGGACCGCCAGGCCCTATGGTACATAAAGCAGCTCACTGTTTTCCCCTCAAAAGCTTTTTAAGATACTGCACGTTTAACATGGATAGTACAGATGTCAGGCTGCAATAGCAGCTCTGAGGATATCTAAAACTGCAAGATCTTGCACCCCTCACAGCACAATGCTGCTAAATGCCTGGCATTTCCACATGATCTGGAATGGGTTTGTTCTTTGATCATGCATCGCATCCATATCATTGCTAATGCTTTTTTCCTTGCTTCTTTATAATTTTTTTGTGGGTGGTGGGAGAAAATTTGGAAGGCAGGAAAATGAGAGAAAGGCCCCTGCAGTTGTTGAAAATAACTTAAAAACAATAACAATTACCATCCGAATAGGGCTAATGTCATGAATACATTTCCTGATCCCTGTCTCTTCTCTATCCAGGGTGAACCAGGATCCCCAGGAAAGGATGGAATACTAGGCTCAGCTGGTTTACCTGGTGCCAGGGTCAGTCTTCTATTTCTTGCATTCTTGGAGTACTTTGAAAAGAGATTATATAATAATGTTTCAAATGAGACAATTACTGAAATACTGAATATTAAATAAGTGTTCTAGCAGTAATAAGTTATGGGTCGATTTTTATGTTGCGTGCAAATGATAAAAATGACTTTAGTAGCTGTGGCACAATAAATGTGTAATGTTTTTGCTGTTTTTTGTTACCTTGCTGTAAACAGGGGCCAAAGGGGGACAAGGGCAGTCCAGGAGATAAGGTATTTTATTGTTTTACACCAAATGATGAATAATGCATGATCATATTCATCTCAAACGAATAAAACACTGTATAATTTTTGCAGTCTGAGACAAATTTCACTTTGTGTGTAGAACATGTTGTAAATTGCTCTATTAATTGTGACTTAGGGTGAGCAAGGTCGTGATGGTCTGAGCATCATAGGGCTTCCCGGTCCCCCTGGCCCTCCTGGACCGATCATTAACTTCCAGGATGTAAGTATAAAGTCTGGTAACCTGCTTTGCTGCAAAATTTTGCTTGAGATCCTAAAAGAATGATTTTTAAAAGATAATGATTTATTTTTTCCTCCAGCTCCTTCTTAATGATACTGCTGCCAAATTGAACCTCTCTAAGATCAGAGGACCGCCAGGCCCTATGGTACATAAAGCAGCTCACTGTTTTCCCCTCAAAAGCTTTTTAAGATACTGCACGTTTAACATGGATAGTACAGATGTCAGGCTGCAATAGCAGCTCTGAGGATATCTAAAACTGCAAGATCTTGCACCCCTCACAGCACAATGCTGCTAAATGCCTGGCATTTCCACATGATCTGGAATGGGTTTGTTCTTTGATCATGCATCGCATCCATATCATTGCTAATGCTTTTTTCCTTGCTTCTGTGTGTGTGTGTGTGTGTGTGTGTGTGTGTGTGTGTGTGTGTGTGGTGCATGTTGCAGGGCCCTGAAGGCTTGCCTGGCAGAGCAGGATTCCCTGTAAGAATGCCATTCATTTTCTGTCTGCTTTATACATGGAAACTATTTCAAGATTATATGCTGATGATGATAAAGTTGCTAAGCTAATGCAACTAAGTTGCTGAGTGCTGAGTACAAGTGGTCCTATGGAATTTGCTTGACCATTTTTAATTTTAAAGACAAACACTCTGGTTAAACCAAGTAAAATAAAAACAAAACTGGTAGTTTTGCAATACCACTGTGCAATACATTTTGCAGTACCAATACACATAGGTAGGTAATCACTCAAAAAAATGGTCAAGCAACCAAGTTTTGGCCCACTTGAGATGGACTGACCTATCTTCATAGTGTTTTACTGGTTTCAGTCTTGTCATATGATCTATCTGTGTATGGATTTGCCAGTTTACTTTACAGTGTCGTAGAATGTATATAATATCCATATCAGCCCTGTAGCCCAAGACTGCACTCTTAAAAATAAAGGTGCTTCAAAAGGTTCTTCAAGCGATCGTGAAGCACCTTTATTTTTAAGAGTGTGGTTGCCCACTGAAGCTAAGCAGGGTTGAGCCTGGTCAGTACCTGGATGGGAGAGCTCCTGGGAAAACTAGGTTGCTGCAGGAAGAGGTGTTAATGAGACCAGCAGGGGGTGCTCACCCTGCAGTCTGTGTGGGTTCTAACGCCCCAGTGTAGTGATGGGGACACTATACTGTAAAAAGCACCGTCCTTCAGATGAGACTTTAAACCGAGGGCCTGACTCTCTGTGGTCACTAAAAATCCCATGGCACTTCTCGTAAAGAGTAGGGGTGTATCCCCGGTGTCCTGGCCAAATTCCCTCCACTGGCCCTTGTCAATCATGGCCTCAGGCTCCTAATAATCCCCATCCACTGAATTGGCTCTGTCTCTCTCCTCTCCACCTGTAGCTGGTGTGTGGTGAGCGCACTGGTGCTGTTGTACTATGGCTGCCGTCGCATCATCCAGGTGGATGCTGCACACTGGTGTTGGTTGATGAGAGACCCCCTCATGAATGTAAAGTGCTTTGGGTGTACAGCAATACACAATAAAGTGCTATATAAATGCCTCATTCATTCATTCATAATTTGGTGGTTGGTACATTTTTCTCACCTCAAAATTCTGTGGTAGAAACCACTATTAAATGAAGATTCCAGGTTCAATGCAAGTTCAATCACTTCCATTGTCTTCAACAACAACAAAAAAAAGGTTACATTGAGGCACTCACAGTGGAAGTGAATGGAGTTTTTGGAGCATTAAAAAGCAGAAATGGGAAGCTTCTAAACTTATATAAGCACTTATATCAATTCTTCTGCATTTCATATGTAATGAGCTATAAAGATGGTTTACAAGATGGTTTACAGTGTTATGTAAACTTTCTTTATGTTTTTAAAGAAAGGAGTAACAAATGGAAATACATTTTTGTGGTAATCAAAATTGCCACTGGCTAAGCTGAAAATATTCTTTTAAATTTCATATGATTTTGAGTAGAGCTTTTATTGAGCTTGCTCTGGTGTTTGGAGTTATAAAATTCAAAATAAACCACTGTAATGGTGGAACTAACTTGCTTGAATGTTATAATGCTCAGGGCCCAAGAGGACCAAAAGGTGAAATTGGGTTTCCAGGTATTCAAGGACCTCCAGGACTAAAGGTATGAGTTTAAAATGTGATCAGAAATAACTTGCTGTACATAATGAAGAGCAAACTCTCCCATCATTACCACACGATTGACATGACAAATTTCCAAATGAGGGCTCATTTTATTTTCAAGTATTAATAAATCTGAGCTGCTGTCTTCACCACTGTAATTTAGCCTTCACAACTAGGCCTGTCACGATAACAACTTTTTGTTGTGCGATATATTGACCCAGAAATAATTGCGATAAAATTATTGAGGTCATGTACATATATTGCGCGATAAGTCGATATATTGATTATTGCGACAGGCCTATTCACATCTGATTGCTTACTGTAAAGGTGCTCTAAGCTATATTTGAATAGCACGCATAAAATGCTTTTACCAACTCAGAGATCTTTGAAATAGGTCTATTGAGGACTCACTCTGTGACAACCCAGAAACTCTAAACACTGTCAAAGAGAGGCCCACGCTCTCTCTCTCGTATGTGTTCAGGTTAGTAGAACTTGGCTGAAATTGCTTACAGCACCTTTAATGAAAGTAGACTTTTCACTTATTACTCATATGTGACAAACTACATTACTTGATCAGGATTGCCTTAAAGTCAAGTTTTATGAAAAGAATATCATTTGTTGTATTGTCTAATAGGGAGAAAAGGGGGAGCCAGGCGTATCCATAGCTGCTGATGGCTCTCTAATAACAGGCCTGAGAGGACCCAGAGGACCGAAGGGAATGAAGGTTGAAACTATTTACTTTTGAGCTTGAACTTTTTGTGTTGTTCCTCAGTGGTCTGACATTGACATTGTTGTACTTTGCAGGGAGACATCGGCCCCTCTGGACAGCCTGGGATTGTGGTAAGATGCATCTCTCACACAAAAAATAAAGCATGCATGCATAAATACCTCTATCAGAGAATATGTATGTTTTTCTTTGATCTTTAGGGGCTGATTGGACCACCTGGACAAAAAGGAGAATATGGACTTCCTGGTCGACCGGTTAGTTTTATACATTTTGTTTGTTTGTTTGTTTACAATTTCATTCATAAATCTCATAAATGTTTAGTTCCACTAATTTTTTTTTTAGGGCCGGCCTGGAATAGCTGGAAGGAAAGGGGACAAGGGACATTCTAGTGGTCCCCCTGTATGTTAACATCTTTGTGACATAATGCTTCCAGTATGTTTCATTAAATCGAATTAAATATAATGGCTTACCTGTATTCAAGGGTCCACCGGGTCCACCTGGACCTCCAGGGCCACCAGGACGAGTAATTGGCCTCAATGGAGTAAGTTTGATCTTCTTATCAGATTTGCAGCATATGGAAATTAAATTGAGCAAGTGTGCTTCACCCTAAAATGCAATTTTCACAAAAGTCATAAAATGATTCTGCTCTAAATCTTGAAGACAGTTTTCCCAGTTTCTCCTAAACCACACTGCAAAATACCAGTAAGTTAATGAGTGAAATTCTCTGATTGGTGGTTTAGCTTTGGGTGTGGCTTCTGGCTCAGCTCCTCCCCGTAATTCACTAGCCATGCCTACTTTGCTTTCTAAGGTGCTTCTGGATTATTCCTGGGTTCATGGCCATAAAAACAGCATAGAATATGTTTAATTACAAAAAATCTAATTTACATTTTTTAAACATAGATATTTAATTTATTTAATTAATTAATTTATTGTTTATATATATATATATATATATATATATATATAAACAACTGAATAATGCCTGCGTCATGCTGTTATTTACTAATTCAGGAGTGTCTCTCCATGGTCCTTTAACCCAGTATCTCATCTCATCTCATCTGAGGTGCTTTCCTAAGCTCACCAAAGCATGTTGGATGAGCTCTAACATTTGTTGGGCTCAGCAGTGAATTCATGGTATTACGGGATTTTAAGTGCTGTGTACATTTCACATGTCACACTAACAAAACCGTTCACTCCTGAATATGCTGACATTAACATATGCATGGATTCATATTCTTTTTAATATTTCATATCAGACAATATTTTCATCATCACTTCTGTTCTGTCCAAAATGTCAAATTTTATACAAAAAAAAATCTTACAGGTCAACAACAACAATTCACAACCAGGTATATGTAGCAGATCTTACATGTATAGTAGCCTTTTTAACTCATTGTTTAGAATATTTTATATATTATAATATATTTAATATTTTCCTGATTGAAACAGGCAATGGAAGAGTGTCATTAGGAGTCAAAGAGGACAAGGGTGATGTGGGAAATCCTGGGTTGCCAGGAACTGCAGGTATAATAAAAATGCCTTATTTTGGGAAATTAACTATAAACCTATGTATTATTTGTATATAATTGATTAAATTACCTAATTTAATGTTGTTTTTTATTATTCTTAATGGTTTTGCTCCACCCATATTTAAGGATTACATAAGTCAAATAACAGGAATGAACACAAGAGCTGGTACAAGGGCGGATTGTAATATACCACCAAGTACTTCTAGTCAGTTATCTTTTGCCTTTAGAGGAACCCATGACTGGAATAGACTCCCATCAAAATTCAGAATTAAAATATATATATATATATATATATATATATAAAAAGTCATTGTGGTTTCTCTAAACAATTAAAAATTTGGTGGTTGACAAATCAAAATTGCGAAAATTTCTAGGGATTTTAGTATTAAAATTTTGTTTTTATATATTGATTATTTTTTTCTTTCATCAACCTGCCATAGAACTACAGATTAAAATGAGTCACCCTGGCTAAATCTGGCACATTTTACATTGATTTTTATGTATTATTAATGTGTTTTGTCTCTGAATGAATGAATGAATGAATGTAAACTAATTAAAAAAATAGCATTAAGTGTCTGTATGGCACTGGCAGACAGTCCAGTGGCTAGACCTCAACAATGATCTTTATGTTTTCTTTCTTCACAGTGCCAATGTTTCCTCATGGTTATGTGGTAAGTACTTGTTCAGTGTCTCACATATCTATGTGAAAAATATCTTTAGCATTTGTATAGAATCTATAAGCACACTTAAAACTTTAACAGGACAAAAATGTGCACACACCCTCGTGTGTAATGGTGCATTCATGCTATGTCGTAATTACCGTAATTACTACATGACAGCTCTGACATTCTACTTAGTCCTCTGACTTGGACGTATGGATTTTTATGCTAAATTGATGGCAAAATAAATCTGTGTAATTTAATCAATAGACAAAGTCAATAGACAAAATCAATTATTGGAAATATTAAAAACATGAGTTTGCTACTTACAGTAAATACATTTTACTGCTGCAGCCACTGCCAGGTTGAGTGTTTCCACATGACATTGTAGCAGTACAATTTACAATGTCAATTTACAAGCTGTAATTATGAGGATGTGAACGCTTTTTAGAAGTTGGAATCTTATCTTTATGATAGTTCCAACATGGTGTGAACACATCTTATGACAGGGTTTTCAAACCCAGGTCTTGGGCAGAGGCGGACAAAGTACTCAACTCCATTACTTCACTGAAAGTACAGATACTGCTGGTCAAATATTACTCCATTACAAGTAAAAGTTGTAAAGACAGATTTTTACTTAAGTAAAAGTACAGAAGTACTTGCTTTTAAAAGTATAAGTACCAAAAGTTAAAAAAAATTATTGTTGCACGTACTAGTACTTGCAATACTTCTGAAGCAACTTAGAATACATTATACCTGCTGAATACACTGACTAGTAGTATATTTGGAATAAAGAGCTTTTAGAATGTTAAAAACCTATGGGGAAAAAAACAAAACCAAACAAAAATTTAACACCCCTACCCACCCCCACAAAAGCAGGATGCAGTGATCTCACACAGCTCTGACAGTGTGCACACATCTATTTGTAGCCATTCATCCACATTTGAACAGAGTGGAAAGTGAAATCCTGTAAATACAGAGTGATAAGAAAGAAAGAAAAATCAAACCTGCTTTAAAACCCAGCAACACAACTGTAG